CCCGGAGGAAGCCGCGCGGCGTGATGACGGCGAGCCCGGACGTCAGCGGCGAGCGGTTCCACCGGCACGACGCGTGCATGGTGCCGACCTGCCCACGCTCTGTGGCCGCCAGGGGAGCAAAGCTCGCCATGGGTGAAGCGGGTCCCGAGGGACGCGCGCCCTGAGGTGTTTCGCCGCTCCTGGGCTCGCGGGGCCCTGCACGGGCCCCGGGACCGTCAGAACACGACCCGGGATGGAGATGTCGGCCTGGGGCAGGGCCCGAGGGCCCAAGGGCCCGTTCCCCTCCAGAGCTGCTTCCCCACGGCAAGAAGCGGGGGGGGTGTCCCAAAACGAATCCTTTTCCTCCTCCTCTCTCCTCGGAGGATGTGGTGTTGTGCTGGGCCTCCCAGGTGGGGTCCGAGTCGATGGGTTCGGGGGATCGCGCCGCATCGCCGATGCATCGCCGATGCGGCTCGATGTGGAGCCCAAGTTTCGCCACGCCGACGGCGCTGGTGCGTAGCCGACGTCGGCGATGCGGCGCATCCTCCGACTCCATTTGCCTGGACCCCATTTGGGAGGCGTCTAGGCGTGCCCCCCCCTGGGCACTTCTGTGGAGCATGAGGCATCTTCGGACGCAACTCCTGGGAGGTCAAATTCCGATTTTGCCCTGGTCCGAAATCTGGCGTAATCTGGCTTGATCTCGTTTCATCAGGCTTGATCCCGCTGAGCCCGGCCTAATCTCGCTTAGTCCGCGGCCTGATCCAGCGTAGCAGCCCCCCACATGGGGCTTCATTCTCCCCAGTCCTTCCAACGAAGACCTCCGAGTAGTTGCCTCCTAAGGCATCGAGGGCAGAGGTTTCGCCCCGCCCCTCAGTGAAAGGGCCCTGGGACACGCAAATAAACAGACTCAAATCACAGGATTCCCCATATTTCCCCACACTTTCAGGGCTTTCGTCTTCCCCCCCACTTCCCATATTTTCCCATATTTTCCTGGGAGTCGACGATTCCTTGTGTCTGTGTGTGTTTTTCCCCTCCTGACCCAGGCGACCTCCAAGAGCACGGGCCGTTTGCCCGAGCTGAAGAGCCCCGCGGGCGCCCGCAGGGCCCCCTGAGGAGGCCCCGCCGCCCCCTTCGGCCGAAGCGGCGGGATGCGGCGTGGCGGCCGTCCGCGGCGGCCCCAATGGCCGGCAGATGAGGCCGCCGTGTGATGTCGTGTAGGCTCTCGCCTGGAAGAGGGGAGGGGGGGAGGAGGGAGGAGGGCGAGGAGGGCCAGGAGGGAGGAGGTTGGATGCTGGGGTGAGGGGTGCTGTTGACGATGATGCTATGCTGATGCTGCTGCTGATGCTGATGGGGAGGAGGATGATGAGGAGAATGAGGATGATGATGATGATGATCATGATGGTGATGGTGGTGGTGATGGTGATGGTCATCGTGATGATGATATTTCTGATGATGATGATGATGATGATGATGATGATGATGATGGTGATGGTGATGGTGATGGTGATGGTGATGGTGATGGTGATGGTGATGATGGTGGTGCTGGTGATGGTGATGGTGATGGTGATGCCTATGATGCTGAGGAGTGTAATGATGATGACGATGATGATGCTGATGATGATGCTGATGCTGCTGCTGATGATGATGCTAATTGCTAATGATGATGTTGACGACGACGACGACGACGATGACGATGATGACAATGGCGCTGCCGATGGTGATGATGATGATGATGCTGATGCTGATGCTGATGCTGATGATGATGATGATGATGATGATGGTGATGCTGTTGGCGGTGGTGGTGGTGATGGTGATCATGATGATGCTGCTGCATGTGATGATGCTGCTGTTGATGGTGATGACAACGATGAGGATGAGCATGATAATGAGGCTGATGATGATGATGGTGATGATGTTGGTGAGGGTGATACCGGTGCTGATGAGGATGGTGAGGATGATGATGATGATGATGATGATGATGATGATGATGATGATATTGATGATGCTGGTCATGGTGATCATGGTGGTGATTTTGCTGATGCTGTGGCTGATGATGACGCTGGTGGTGATGATGCCGACGACGAGGCTGCTGATGAGGACGACGGTGAAACTTGTGCTAATGATGCTGCGGATGTGGATGAGGATCAGGATGAGGATGTGGAGGAGGAGGAGGAGGAAGAGGGTGTTGATGATGATGATGATGGCGGTGACGACGATGATGATTCTGACTCTGATGATGACATTCTTCCGGTAATGAAGCCGATGAAGATGGCGCGGATGACGATGGCGATGATGATGATGATGATGATGATGATGATGATGATGCTGATGCTGATGCTGATGCTGACGCTGCTGCTGATGACGATGATGACGATGCTGGTGGTGGAGATGCTGAAGACGATTACGGGGATGGTGATGCTGTTGTTGATGCTGCTGATTACTGTGGGGATGACGTTGATGTTTAATGTAATGATGACGCTGACGATGGTGATGATGATGGTGATGATGATGCTGCTGATGAGGCCGACGATGATGATGATGCTGATGATAACTATGACGATGATGATAATGATGATGACGATGGTGACGATGATGTTGATGATGTTCATTCTGCTGATGAGGAGGATAGTGATGACGCTTCCGATGATTATGATGCTGATAATGATGGTGTTGATGGTAATGATGATGATGATGATGCTGATGCTGATGCTGATGCTGATGCTGATGATGATGATGATACTGATGATGATGATGATGATGATGATGCTGATCCCGAATTTCGTTTTGCTGATGAGGTTGACGACTCGGATTGGGACTGTGATGGCGATGGTGAGGATGATGCTGCCGCGGCTGTTGATGATGATGGTGGTGGTGATGGTGATGAGGACTATGGTGCTGATAATGATGCTGATGGTGATGATGATGGCGATGCTGATGATGGTGCTGATTCTGATGCTGGTTGTTATGATGATGCTGATGATTCTGATGACGATGATACTGACTGTGACCATGATGTGGAGGAGTCTTAGCATTATGATGATGCTGCTAATGCTGATTATGATGGCGATGGCGACGATGACGACGATGATGATACAACAGACGAGGACGATGACGATGATGAGGACGACGATGCTGGCGGTGTCTCTGACCATGATGGTGATGACGGCGACGGCGATTAGCATGTCCATGATGATGCTGATGAATATGATGATGATGCGGATGATGATGATTATGATAATTCTGATGATGACGATGATGCTGCTGATGATGATGATGATGATGATGATGATGATGATGATGGTAGTGGTGGTGGTGGAGTTGGTGCAGATGACGATGGCGATGCTGATGACGATGATGATGATGCTGATGATGGTGATGCTGATGACGATGATGCTGATGCTGATTCTGATGCGGATGCTGCCGACGACGATGATGATGACGATGCTGATGATTCTTATCATGATGATAGTAGTGGTGGTGCTGCTGATGATGATGCTGGTTCTGCTGATGATAGTGATGGTGATGGTGATGTTGATGACTATGATGATGACGATGCTGATGATGATACTGATGCTGATGATCATGACCATGATGATGACTGTGACCATGATGTAGGGGAATATCAGCACGATGGTGACGTTGATGATGATGATGCGATGGTGATGATGATGCTGTTGCTGATGATTGTGATGATGATGATAATGCTGATGATGATGATGATGCTGCTGATGCTCATCATGATGATGACGATGATGCTGATGCTGATGCTGATGATGATGGTATTGATGTTGATGCGCCTGCGGATGATGACGATACTGTTCATGTGCAGTGGTAGTGATGATGATGCTGATGCTGATGCTGATGATGATGCTGTTGATGATGATGATGATGATGATGATGATGATGATGATGATGATGATGATGATGATGATGATGACACCGCTGATGACTACGAGGAGGAGGAGGAGGAGGAGGAGGAGGAGGAGGAGGAGGAGCGGAGGAGGCGGAGGGGAAAGGGGATGGGGATGGGGAGGCGGACGAGGGTGCGGAGGAGGGGGCGTAGGGCGTGATTAGCGGTTTCACCAGCAGCGGCTCTGGATGTTGAGCGCTCCATCGAGCAAGCTGGCGGCGCGCAAGAGGGGTCAGAGCGGGGGGGTGGGCGGCGGCCTTCTACGAAGGCAGTTCGAAATACCTCCTGCTTTTATCCAGGACTTCAAACGGGGTCCGAGTAGAGCGGGTCGGAGGATTGCACCGCGTCGCCGATGATCGCCCATGCATCGACGATGCATCGGGGATGCGGCGCGATCCTCCGACCCCTTTTACTCGGACCCCATGCGGGAGGCCTCTTTTTTTCCCGTCCCGGCGGAGGGATTCCCGTTTAGTGTTCCCAGGGGGGGTTTCGGTGGGTACCCTCCGAGATTGGCGCCGGCCACGGGCGGAATGCTGGCGAAACGCCGGCGGAAGTTGGCGGAAGTCCGGCAGTAGCGGCAGACGCGCTTCCGGGCGGCACGGGCGGCCACCAGGTGGTCCGCAAGATTCTAGGCCTCCTAGTCGGAGTAGATGGGGTCGGAGGATCGCGCCGCATCGCCGATGCATCGACGATGCATCGACGATGCGGCTCGATATGGGGCCCAATTTTCTCCGCGCCGACGTCGTGGATGTACCGCCGACGTCGCCAGTGCATGGCCGATGCATCGGCGATGCATCGGCGATGCATCGGCGATGTATCGGCGATGCTGCGCGATCCTCCGACCCCATCTACTCAGTGGGGTCCAAGAGTACCAAAAGTCGCCGAGTGATCGGTCCAAGACCTCGCAGGTGGCCTCCAGACGGCTCAAGAGGCTTCTTAGACACCATCAGAGGACTCCAGGAGGACCTCAGGAGTCCAACATCATTGATCTTACATCTGTTGTTTAATGATGTTAGCGTTCTCGCCTTTTCCAGCTTTCGATGCGCCAAGACGGACTCATAGGCCCCCAACATCGCCCGCGACGGCCAGAGGGGCCTCCAAGAGGCTCCCAGGAGGCGCCCATGAGGTCCGCAAGACGGCCCAAGAGGGCCCCAAGACAGCCCAGGAGGCACCCAAGACGGCTTCCGAAGACCAAGAGACCCCCAAGAGGCTTCAAGAGGTCTCCAAGAAAGCCCCAAGAGAGCTTCAAGAGGCCCTAGGAGAACCTCCAGGAGGCCCGAATCATACATTTCTCACCGGTTGTATAATGATTTCAGCGTTCTTGCCTTTCAAGCTTCCGGCACTCCAGGGCGATTTCACACGCCCCCAAGGTCGCCCTAAGACGGCCCAAGAGGCCGCCACGAGGCCCGCAAGACGCCCCAAGTGGGCTCCAAGACAGCCCACGAGGCCCCCAAGACGGCCCCAAGACAGCCCCAGAGACCTCCAAGACGGCCCTAACGCGCCCAAGGAAGGACCCACTACTGCACAGGCAGGACCCAAGACGGCCTCCGAAGGCCAAGATGCCCCCAAGATGCCCCCGAGAGGTCCGCAAGAAGTCCCCAAGAGGCCCCAGGAGGACCTCCAGAGGGCCGATCATAAATCGTCATCGGTTCTTTACGATTTTTTATCGTTCTCGCCTTCTCCGGCTTCCGATGATCCAAGACGGACCCATGGGCACCCAAGATCGCCCCAAGACGGCCCGACAGGCCCAGGCGGCTCCCAGGAAAGGTGCATGCCACAAATGATTCACACTGAGCGCAGGTATCGTCTGCGTCGTCTTCTTGGACGTCACGCCTGCGGTGACCCTCCCCAAAGCCCCGAAGACCCATGGACACTCGAATCAAGAGGAGGAGGAGGAGGAGGAGGAGGAGGAGGAGGAGGAGGAGGAGGAGGAGGCCGCTTCTTTTTCGCAAGGCGTGCCCACCTGCGCGCCCTCACGCTCCAAGAGAGGCCTTCCAGACGGCCCCAGAGGCTTCCACAGCAGCCCCAGAGAGCCGTAAGTCGGGCCTGTCCCCCAACAGGAGGCATAATCAAAAATAGTCAAATAATAGTCTGGGGGCGATGTTTCGACTTTTTGTTGTTGTTGAATCTTTCAACTATTTTCAACTTTTCGTGCAAAATCCGCCTGTAGGGGGAGACGCCCGACCTAAATATCGCCCTGGGAACGCCTCAAGTGGTGGCCCAGACTGGGAGCGCGAGCCGACATGCCGAGTTCTCCTCTCAAAGGGACCCCCAGGAGGCCCCAACAGGCCCCCACGAGGCCCCAAGGAGCCCCAAGAGGCCCCCGGGACCCCCCCAGAGGCCCACAAGGTTCTCAGAGGGCCCCACGGCTGCCCAAGAGAGCCCCCGGATGGCTGGAGGCGCGCCGACAGAGCGCCACGGCGTCAAACGGACAACACGTGAAAATACACAATGCTCACTATATAGGCATCCTCTTCTTCGCTTCTCTTTCTCGCAAGTGACCCCCACTTGTTGGGTGGAAGGACAACTTACACCAGCACCACCAGGGGTCAACCTCCAGCGAGGAGGCCCACGATGCCTCCCCGAACGGGGGATAGGTGATGTTTCGAGCGAGAGGGGGGACCACACCACCAGGTGGACCTCCCCTGACTCCTCCCGCTGGTGGTCCCTGGTGGTGTTGGTGTTGCGTTTCTTTGTTTCTAATTTGACCTCCAAGGTCGGGGCTCGTGGCGATCTCAGGCTTTGTGATGCCCTGCCGGAAAAGCCTCTCGACCCCTCTGAGGAGCGTCCCGCCCCCTCAGAGACTTGGCCCGAGTTCTGCGCGCCGCCCGGAGGACGGCTTTTTCCCCAGCGACGACGAGCAGTGGTAGGCAGTTGCGGGTCCGGCCTGCGTCTTTGGCACGCGGCGCTGAGCGGGCGAGCCTTCACAAAGTGAAGGTCGCAGCGATGTCATGGCCGCCGTGGTCCTCGCGGTGGCCCGGCAGCTGCTGCTGCTGCTGCCCAGCAGGCGAGTCTTTTCGGAGTGAAGGGCCACCGCCTGTCCTTTAGCGGATTTCGCTTGCTCTCTGGGCGCAGTCTCGGCGATCCTTGCCTCAGAACTGCTCCCGAATGGTGGAATGGGTGGCTCCTCCTCCTTCTCCTCCTCCTCTTCTTCCTCCTCCTCCTCCTCAAACCAGACATGTTGCAGATGGAACTTGATTTTCGGGTTGAGGGTCAACTTCTCCGCTTTGTGCGTAATATGGTCTCTCGTGATTTTGCTTTTGAGGGACGGTGCTAATTGGCGTGTCCCTCGAACGTGGCCAGGCTCCCTCTGGAGGTCTCTGGAGGCCCCCAGAGGTCTCTGGAGGTCCCAGGGGGCCTCTGGAGGCCCTCAAAGGGTCAAAAGTGACCAAATAACTTTGACCCTCCGTCCTCGAGACTCCTCCTCCGCCTCCTCCTCCTCCTTCTCCTCCTCCTCCTCCTCCTCCTCTCTCCTCCTCCTCCTCCTCCTCCTCCTCCGCCTCATCTCTCCTCGCCCTCTCCTCCCTCCCCCTCCTCCTCCTCCTCCTCCTCCTCCTCCTCCTCCTCCTCCTCCTCATCCTCCTCCTCGCTCTCTTCCTCCCTCCTCCCTCCTCCTTTCCCTCCTCCCTCCACCTCCCTCCTCCCTCTTCCCTCCAGCCCTTCTTTGATCGAGTTGCAGAGGCAGTTCTCCAGAATGGCGCGCGTCTATGCGGGCCAGCGCAAGGACACCTCTTTTCCCGCACCCCGCCGCGAAGCCATGGCGCCCCTTCCCTCCCGCCCGCACTGGGGAGATGGATGGGCGTGGCAGACGCCCAGCCGCGTCCACGGTTCAGGAGACTGTTTTTTCTCAGGGTCCGGCGATCACCCGGGTTGTCGGGCTTGCCCCCCCAAGAATAACCTGACCTTGCCGGTTGCGCAGGCCATGGGTGGGGGGGCGCGGGCATATGCAGGGCTGTCCACAGCGCGAAGGTTAGGTTATCGGCAGGCCCCCTCCTTCCCTCTCCCCCGGATAACCCGGGTGATCGCCGATAAAAAACGGTCTCTAGCTGAGGGCGCTCGTGGTGAGGAGTGGAGTGGGCCCAACAGCCGCACTACTTGGACTTGCGGGTCTTGCGGGTGCAACACGAGCAAGCAAGGTTGGATGCAGTGCAAGATTGCTGGGCCCACCGTGTGTCGCCGCGGATGCCGCCCTCGTCTTCGCCTCTCTCTCTCTCTCTCTCTCTTGCGCGCCGGACAATTTGCCTATCGGTCGCCCCAGTTAGCCCCACGCTGGCGGTGCGGAGTGCCTCCGCCTCGCCGCCGACGAAAAAGTGTCGCCGCGGATTGACCTCCCCAGCCGCAGCCGTCTGGTGTCTGGAGCTGGGGCGCGCCCTGGTCCTCAGCTAGATGGCTCTCTTCCTGTGCGTCCTGGTCCTCTGTTCCTGGCTTTAAGCGGCGCCCAGCCCACTGACGAGGAGTCGCCTCGTCAGTGCGCTTCGGTAGATGGGAGTCGAGGAAGCCATCATCAAGTGGCAGAAGGAGCTCGGCTCCCGTCAAGCTGCTGCGGGGGCCGCCCCAAAGCCCATGGCACCTATGGAACACCAGATCAACCAACCGTGCTATGAGACGCGCTCGTTGGAGCCCAAGTTCGGCAATACCCTCTCCGCGTTCGAGCTCATGGAAGCCGAGCTGCGCGAACAACGAGGGCGCGTTGCGACTTTGTCCAGTGAGCTGGGGTGCCGGGGTGCCGGGGTGAGAGCTGGCCGCCCAGCATGGAGGGCTCTGGGCCCGCTCGGTAGCTCGGCGCCCAGCCTCGGGGTTGATGACTGCGCGGGCCGGCCGCGTCGTGTCAGAGGTCGAGGCTTGCCGCGGCAGAACACGCGAGCAACAGTCCGTGGTTTGTGGCCGGGTTTGATGGGCCTGTTTTCCACCACGACCACCACCGTAAGTTGGAGGGGGAGGGGTCCTCCTTCTCCTCCTCCTCCTCCTCTTCGCCCTCCTCCTCGTCCTCTACCTCCTCCCACCCTCCAACTCATGGTGGCGGTGGTGGAAAGCAGGCCGATCAAGGTTGGCCCGTCTGAGGCCCGCGGTGGGGGGTCGCGTGGCGCGCGACGTTGCTGCGTTGGGGGCCCTTGCGTGTCAGAGCTCTTCGGGCCCGAGGTCCGCGGCGTCGGTGAGTTCGAGCTCCTGCTGTGCAGGCGCCGGGCTGCGTCGGCGCTTCGGCCCTCCGCCAGGGGCCGCCACCCGCGCGGAGGGCCGTGCTCGTGTGTGCTCGCGTGGCATCCCCGGCGCGGTGGCCCCGTGGGAGGGGTGCGGCGCTCGCGCCGCCATCTGCGCGGCCGCGCCCTTCCTCTCCATGGGCTCGGGGCCGCGTGGCAAGCTGGGTTCGGAGGGGGGCCTCTTCTGCGGCGCAGCGCGTCTGGGCCCGTCGCGGCCTTCCGAAATTCCTTGGAGCGGGTCTCCTGGGCCGCACCGTCGCCTGGTGCTTCGGTCACGGATAGGAGGGGAGTGCTCAAGTTGGCGGAGTTGTCCCCAGAATTGATCCGCAGTTTGCCGCGCAAGGCCAGCTCGACTGGGATTCGGGGGCGGGTCTCAGCTTTGCTGGTTCGTGCGTGTGTTTCGCCCGTCCTCAGCCATCTCGGCAGCAGTAAGTACACCCCCTGCCGAACAGGGGTGCCTGAGGGCCGTCTTCTGCAACGCCATCCAGGTCTAGAGCGGCCAGCCTAGGTTATGATCTTCCGTCCGCGCGCTGTCCACTGCGCGGTCAAGGCTTGGATTCGCTTATGCATCGGCTGCGCGAGTGCCAGGGCCCTGAGGTGGTCGAACCAAGGGGGTAGCAAAGTTCACAGACGTGTGCAAGAATGGGCAGCTGAGGCAGACAGCGACCTCCCCTTTTTCGGCGTCTTCCTCGCCCCGCCGACGCCTTCCCGAGGCCGACCCAGTCTGGGGGCGTCGTGGTCGACCGGGAGGGTAGACCTCAGCGCGCCATTCGAAGGGGAGTTGTTCATCGACGGCAACGCAGGCGGTATCCTAGCATCCTCCGCCTTCGGTCCTTGAGCAAGAGGGTCTTGACCGTGCTTGCGCCGTCGCGGGAGCTGCGGGCCGCCTGGCTGCGAGGTTGCTTGTCCTCTGGTCGCATCTCTGTCTCGGCCTTGATGTTGGACGTCTCTCTCTTTCGGCCATGGTGTTGAAGCCTCAGATAGCACATCCTTCTCGCCAGTGGAGCTAGGTGGGCATTTTCTGGCAGTGTGCGACTTGTCTGCGATGCCGTCGAGGGAAGCCCTCGGTGAAGCCCCGTGGAGGGAGGTGCTCGACTGTCCTGCGTGTTTCGCCAGCAGCCATAGGTTGCGCGAATTGGTCACTTCTGCGTGCTGCTCGACTGCTCAGACGGCTCTTTTTTTGTGTGCCTGTCACAAGTGTGGTTGCAACGCGTCGGGGGGTAAGTTGCGAAACCTCGACAAGATGTGCGACTCCAAAGGGGCGTCACACAGCAATGCGTGGAAGAAGTCGCTTCAATGGGGTTCCGTCCTAAAAAAGCTTGGAGTTTCGGTCGACCTCAACACGTTCTGCTATTTCTGAGGTGTGTGGCCGTGCTTGCACAGTGTGCGGCGCACCTGTCTGCCATCTTTCTGTTCAGATGTTCATTGCGAATGGGAACGTATCAAACTGGGAGTTTTCCTCTTGGAGGTCTGCGGCCGTGCCGCAGACAATCCTCCCTGGTCCCATTCCCTGGGCTCTCCTGGCGCGGCCCCTCAGCAGACGACCCCGGTGCTCCCCGGGGCCGCGCGGGTCGGACGGCGGGAGCAGCGGCGCGAGACCGCTTGAGGGGCGAGGCCGAGGGCGCGGTCGCGGGCGAGCGCGCTGGGGACGAGGGCGAGGTTGGCGAAGGAACGAGACCCCTGCTCGTCCTTCCGTCTATATGAGGCGTTCCGGAAAAGGGCTTCGCCTCCGAGGATCGCAGGAGTTGACACTTCTTTTAGATGGCCAAGTCTGGGAGCTTGCGTTCGACACATCGAGCTTCTGTTCGACCCGACATGTTATTACCTAGGCGCCCGTGCGACTACGTGAGGCTCATGCCCGGCTACCTAACCTCTTCCTCGGCGGAAGGTGGCGGAAAGCCCGCGGCATGCGGCGGACCTAAAACGGTGGGTGGCTCCGCCGGCGGAAAGCCGGCGGAAGTAAGCATCGCTCCCCCTCGGATTCCGGACCCCTCCGAATCGACCGGACCGGGCTCCAGGGGGAGGGGTTTTGGGAGGGGGAAGCATCTCACACGCCGATGAACCTCGATGGATCGGCGGATTCTGATTTTTGCCAGCGGCCTTCATATTTCAAGTATCACGCCCAGTCTACGCTCAACGCCTTCCCCCAGGCGATCGCAAACATGGATCAGGGGGGCGTGGATTAACGACGGGTCTCGTTTCCATGGGAAGTCGCGGGCTTCCGCCTCTGAACGAGGCAATACCAGCTGCATTGTGGGGAGGGCACCTTCCCCGATCCATGGATTTGGCGACCGCGCGCCAAATCTGTGGATCGCTAATCCATGTTTGCGCGCCCCCGACCCACAGGGGCCCGATGGCCCCAACCTGCCCAGGAGCGTGCGGATACACCATCGGGGGCCCGTCACCCATCTACCGCCGATGTATCGCCGATTCCAGGTCGATCCCAGACGCCCGACGTCGGCAACGTCGACCCCCATGGGCCTGGACCTCTGCCCTACGTCTTCTTTCGAACGGCGGCTGATCTGTTGGCGATGCCGGGCTTTGTGGCCCGGCCACGGTGCCCGCCCGTGGGCGCCTCTCGTGGACGCCCCCGTACGATGGCTAGCGTGCTCTGGCCTGCGGCCGGTGCCCGCCCAGGAAGGAGGGCCTGCCCGCTGCAGGCCCGTGGGCGCCCCGTGGCGGGCCGCCCGCTGCCTGCCCGTGGCAGGCTCGTGGGCGCCGCGGATCTCGTCCCGAGGAAGATGAATCTCCGAAGGGATCCCTGGGATTTCCTAAGGGTTCCTATGCATTTCTTCCAGAATCTGGTGGGTTTCCGGAGGAATCCCACGGATTTCCTCGGGATCCTCGGGATCCCCTCGGGATCCTAAGAGTTCCCAAGGATTCCTATGAATTTCCTCGGGGATCCTATGTATTTCCTAGGGAATGTTATGGATTCCCAGCGGATTTCTATTTATCTCAATGTCCTGCGGATTCCTATAGATTTCCTACACAGGAGGAACAGATACCGAAACCTCTACCCTTCCCTTGTTGCCACGGTGGGGTCCGCTTGGACTTTCCTGTGAGAACGCGCGTGTGAAGAGGTCTGGGGAGGAGCGGCGTCGTTACATTTTTTCGACTACACGTAAGAGTGGCCCTTCTCCGAAGTGACCTTCGGTGCGTGCCCACCAGGGTCCTCGGAGGGAGGTGAGCTTGGAAGCCCCCCTCGCCTGAGGCCAGGGCCCCCCCAAGCTGGAACACAACCACAAGGGGAAGGGGGGGGGGCTTCCGAAGCCCCCTCTTTTGGAAAGGAGAGCCTGGATCTACCGCTGGCCCGGACAAGGGATAGAGCGGGGTAGCTTCGAAGCCCTCCCTCTACCCAGGGCCTCCCCAGCTCAAACATGTTTCCAAAAGGGGGGATGGGGAGAGTCTCGGAAGCTCCCCTCTTTTCGAAGGAGGAGGGTTGGGGTAGCTTGAAGATGGAGCCCCCCTTTTAGTCTTGAGTTCGCCACGGGAGCGTTTTTCTTTAGAACATGTTGTTTTTGCTGCTTGCTTTTCTGGTCTTCGCACTGTCCTTGACGGCCTCAGAGGCCTCCAATCTCGCCCCAAGAGGACGGCCCTCAGAGACTCCCAAGAGGGCTCGAAGACGGCCCAAGAGGGCTCCCAAGAGGGCTCCAAGACGGTCCAATTTTGCCATCGAGCTCGCCCCAGAGTGGCCTCGACAGACAGCCCAGCGATCGAGCCGCAGCATCGTGCTGCCCATGGCGATTCCGAGCTTCATGCTGGCCATGCTCCTCTGTGGGGCGCGGGCTGCGCAGGTGGCCGGCGCGCGCCTGGGAGCAGAGGGCGGGTGCGATGCAGCTGCGCTCGCGCAGCTGAAGGGCTCGTTGTCTCATTCGAGCGCGAATCAGGAGCTGGCGGCGGCTGCCGAGGAGGAAGCGGCGAGTAACGCCATCAACGTGACGGGGGGGGCGAGTGGCCTTGGGGCGACTTGCCCTGGTGCCCAGGGCCAGGAGGACGCTTCTGCCATCAGAATGCGTGCATTGGAACAGAGGGCCTGCACCACACTATTCTGCCGCCCACTCTGTGCACCTGTGATCCTGAGTAAGCCAGAGAGGACGAATGGGGGCGCCAGCCTGCATGAAGGCATGGTCGGTTTTCTTTTTGTTTCACCACCTTATGGTTGAGATGTCTTCGAACATCTCCCCATTGTACCTTCGCCTTGCCTTACGTTTTCATTGTGTCCATCGTCTTCACGTGCTCTTTCCTTCGATGGTTTAGCTTTCTTCATCGTGTTCTTTGTCGTCATCGTCTGTTCCCTTCGTCTTTCGCGCCCTTCTCATCCTCCCTGCGCTCGACCACGGCCTCCTTGGATGCCCGCGCAGTGGCCGCGGAAGGGGAGGGTCTGGCCGTGGGGGAAAGGTCCCACCCGAAAAAGGCCCCCTGAATCCACTGGCCCAGTTGTTTTTTTTTCCGGGCGGGCCCGGAACGCATAAGGACTCGGGGGCCAGCCCCCTGAGGAAGATGGCGGCGCCAGGGGCCGTCGGCGCCGGGGTCCATCGGCAGCGCCTCCTCCTCTCCCCCCGCGTCCTCCTCCTCCTCCTCCTCCTCCTCCTCCTCCACCTCCTCCTACTACGTCCTCCTCCTCCTCCTTCTCCTCCTCCTCCTCCTCCTCCTCCTCCTCCTCCTCCTCCTCCTACGTCCTCCTCCTCCACCTCCTCCTCCTCCTACGTCCGCCTCCTTCTCCTCCTCCTCCTCCCAGTTATCCTTCCCCCGTTCGCCCCCTTCCTGCCCCTCGTCGGCTCTCCCATCTCGCCCTCCTCCTCCTCCTCCTCTTCACTTTCCTCCTCCGCCTGGCGATGACGACGGTGGCGATGCTGCCGATGACGATGCTGCCGATGACGATGGGGTTCCGACGAGGGGGCCCATGCGTCTGTGCGAGAATGCTGCTGCGGGGGGCTCTCTGGCAGCTCCGTCTTGCCGAGAGCTGTCTGCGCGTGCCGGAACCGTTTTGATCGTTGGACTGGTGCATGTCGTCACCGTCGTCATCAATCTCGTCTGCAACGCCGTACTCGTCATCAAAGAGGTCTTGATCGTCAGACTCGCCATCGTCATGGTTGCCAACGTCATCGTCATACGAATGCATGATATCAGCAGCATGCTGGATTCACTTAATCGTCACCGCCGTCGTCTTCGTCAACACTTTGGATATAATACTCGTCATCAGCGTCGTAATCGATGGCATCCCCAGGCTGGTGCATGTCACCGCCATCGTCGCCAACTTTGATTTTCAATCTCATGCTCACCATCACCATCGTCATCAACAAGATCTTGTCAGTCATACTCGTCATCACCATCGTTACTAACGGCTGCGTCAGACTACTGGGTGTCATCAACATCGTCACCCGCAGCATTTTACAGGGAATCGCAACCATTTTTGGAAAAGTACAACTGCTCGAAGGGCCGTCAAAGGTAGACCCCCATCCCTTGTGGGCGCTCAGAAAGGTAGTGGGGCCATGGCGATGGCGCTCCGCGCAAGGGGGCCCGCGGGACGCGACCAGGATCGAGCGGCGGCGGGGGCAACACGGGGGCGCGGCAGACCACGAATGGGGAACGGGTTCTGTAATCCGTCTTTTGGATCAGCGCTAGGGCCATTAATGGGATAGGCGGTTTCCCCGTGGATGCGACGGTGGTATGTAGCTGGCCCGATTCAGATTCCTCTCGCTTCGCGGGGTGCACGTCCGGAGCACGTACAGTCACGTCGCGGGGCCTTCTGGGAGCCTCTTGGGGGCCTCCTGGAGGCCTCTTGGGAGCTTCTTTGGGCCTCTTGGGGACTTCTTCTGGCCTCTTCCCCCCCTTTTTTGACTCCCTCCCCATCTTCCCTTCCAGCGCTGGCTCTAATCATGGGCGCCGCCGTGACCAACTTCCACCTGGCTGGCGCTGCGCCGCAGTTCGTCCAGGGGGGGAAATAATATTACACTCCAGTCGCTATGTGGCCTTTGGGGGGCTTCTTTGGGGCCTTTTGGAGGCTTCTTGGGGACTTTTCGGAGGTCTCTGGGGGGCTTTTTGGGGCCATTTGGGGGCCTCTTGGTGGCCTCTTGGGGCCTCTTGGGGGCGTCTTGGGCCGTCTTGGGGCGCTTTCGCGCCGTTTGGCCCCTTCGGAGGACTTCTTGGGGGCCTCTCGCGGCCGCCTTGGGGCCCTCTTGGGGTCCTCTTGGGCCGTCTCAGGGGTTTTTTGGGCCGTCTTGGGGGCCTCTTTGGGCCGTCTTGTGGCCCTCTGGGGCCGTCTTGGGGCCCCCTTGGGTGTTTCTTGGGCCTTCTTGGGGCCATCTTGGAGGCTGCTCGGGCCGTCATGGGCTTCGGAGAGGCGAAAAAGGCGAGAAAGCTAAAATCTTTCAAAAACGTAAGGGGAATCTATGTTTTTGGCCTCTGGAGGCGCTCTTGTGGGCGCTCTTGGAGCCCTCTTGGGCCGTCTTGGGTTCTTGTTGGGCCCTCTTGGGGCCATCTCGGGCCGTC